GGGCGGGGCGGGCGAGGGGCGGGGCGCGCATTGTTCGCGGCGGGCTCGGCCTCGCGCCCGGGGTTGGGGTCCCGCGCGCGCGGGGGCCGGGCCGGGGGCGCGGGCGGGTCCCTCGCGAGCAGGAAAGGGCGCCTGGGGGGCCTGGGGCCCGGGGGCCGCGCGCCAAGCCCAGCTTGGGCCGCCCCTTGGGGCGCGCCCGGCCTCCTCCGAACTTCGCTTTCCGGGCAAAAAGCCATTGTTCTGGCCCGAAGCGGGGAAGTGGGCCGCTTCCTGCCCCGGCCTCCGAGGGGCGCCGCTGCGGGGCCCCACCCGCCCTCTACCCTTCCGCGCAGTGGTCCCTCGGTTTGGGGCAGAAGTTTCTTGTTTTGCGCGGGAGCCAAACGGGCCGGGGGCGGGGAAGGAATGGGAGACAAAGTACTGGAGCGGGGGAGCAGTCTAGCTTGTTTCCCCCCAAAGGCGAGAGAGGAAAATGCATCAGATGAAGAGGCGAGCTGCTCCGTGTTCTTTCTTCTAGCCGTGAAGAGTGGAACCCAGCCCCCAAGATTTAGGGCGCGCGTAGGGAGAAAAGCAACTGCACCTTTTCTTACTTTTCTTTCATGGTTCTGATGAAATGAATGTGGGGGTGGGAGCGAGGTTTGAGGAGATGGTTCTAACCTAGGACTAGGTCTCTAAGGGGCCTGCTGGGATCTGGGGATGTGTCCTTTGGAGCGATTGCACGCGACCCGAAATGAGACCTCGTTTGGAAGGGGGTGGCCTGGAGTCTGTGGGGTCATCGTGGGCCGGCTGCCTTTTATTTTCTTCTGCTGAGATCCGTATTCCATGGAGCAACTCCCCCTTAAATCATTTAGGTCTTGAATCAGACCAAGTCAAACTCGTAATAAAGGAGATGTACACCAGCCTTAACTTTTTCCGCATCAAGACAGTTTAACTCAATGAAAATCCATTTTCTGGTTTTGCTTCTCCCTTGAACGCACCTGCACAGTGCTCTCTCTGCTGAGCAAATCAGAAGGTCGTTTCTTGTTGCAGGGGAATGTCTAAAAGTAATTTTTGATCGTTAAATCCATATTTATAAAGATTCTGAAGGAGAAATATATTTTGTTGTTTTGTTGTTGTTGTTTTAACCGAAACGCCTGCTGTAAAAATTGGGAACTGCAGGAGCCCATCTTTCAATTTCTGGCATGTTCTGCAGTTTATTTGGCTAAATATGTTACATTCATTTGATATCCTGGAGAGACTTTGGGTAACATATGCAAACTTAGATTCTGCTTTCCAGGAAGGAAGGAGGGGAGGGCTCGCTTGGGGGCTTGGGGGTGGAAATGATGGCTCACTCTGGAGGGGCCGCAGCCCAGAACCCTTGTTTTGGGATGAAACCTGCAATCCTGGGGTGCAGAGTCGCTTACAATCTCCAGCTCTTTTTGTGTCCCTATCTTCTGGAACTAGGCAGTAAATTGTGGGGTTGAAGCCAAGGGGGTATTTATTGTAATCCTAAAAATAGCTGGATCAGTTTCAACTCAGGTTTCCTTGCAGAGTTTGTCTTGGGTGTGAGGTTTTTGCCCTGGAAGTTTCCAGTTTCCTCTTGGTGATATATGGTTCCCCGGGATACTTGCTTAATTTTTTTTTTAAGGAAAGGAAGCATGGGGCACCTGGGTGGGTCCATCGTTAAGCGTCTGCTTTCGGCTCAGGTCATGATCCCTGCGTCCTGGGATCGAGTCCCCAGTCGGGCTCCCTGCTTGGCGGGAAGCCTGCTTCTCCCTCTCCCACTCCCCCTGCTTGTGTTCCCTCTCTCGCTGTCTCTCTCTTTGTCAAATAAATAAATACAAATCTTTAAAAAAAAAAAAAAAGGAAAGGAAGCTTAAAAAGGGGAATTCTTTCTTGCCCTGAGAAATAAGTTTGTCTAGAATTTGATCCTAACCTATGAAAAAAAATCAATTTCCTGGAAAGTTTAACACATACCTTGTCTGTTCAACTGCAAATACCCAGTTTGAGTAAAATAGTGTTTAGATAATTTATTTGGAGGCACAGATAATGACAGATTTGACTAGAATTAAAGGAGTAGATAAATAGGGTGAGGGTTGATCCAAAATGTGTAAAGTGTTCCATAAAAACAAAACCGGAAGAAGGCAGAAGGGAATAATGATAACTCCAGCTAATCCCATTGTGTCAAAACACGGGTTTGGGCTCCAGCAGATTCTGTCTTCCGTTCTGTCACATTTAGGAATTATTAAGACAAGTCCGAACTCATTATTTTCTTACTCATCCAGCAAAGAGTTACTTAGCACTTGCTGTCAGCCCGGCATGACGAGACGGGGTCTGGAGCCTGCAGCAGTGCTGTCGGAAAGAGCTTTCTGAGACGTTGGGGGTGGCTGGTATCTGCCCCCTTCCCCGCCGTTGCCATCCACCATCCATAGCTACTGGTGAGCACGTGAAATGTGACTAGTGCTACTGAGGTATTGAATTTTTAATTGTATTTAATTTTAAGTAACTGAAAGTTAAATCGTCCCATGTAGCTAGAGGTCATGTTCCTGGACAGTCCAGGTCCACAGGGATGCCAGGGTTAGACTCTAAGCACGTAGCAGGCAGAAGTATCACAGGTATGTGATTGAATCCTGGAGCATAGTTTGCTCACACTCCCACGTAGGCTTTCCTGCATTCAAGAATGTCTGCGACCTGTCCAGGAAGATCTTAGACATGCAGGCATATTGGAGTGCATTCAGACCAAGCACTTCGTTGAATGCCATTTTCTTTCTAGGCAACTGACAGTGCCAATGACAAATATTAACTCATTGGTGTCTGAGTTATCGCTGAGAAACGAGCAGCAGTTTCCGTGCTGCTCCTCTGAATTGAGAAGCCGAGGCGGGGAGCAAGGAATGGTGGTGTCCCTCCCGAGTGAATGGAAGTCAGGGCTTGAGATGAAGCCAGCACCCCATGCTCTGCTACCTTTGGCAGCGAAAACTAAGCACCATGAGTCGTGCCTTACAAAGCAGCTTTAGGGCAGCTCTTCATTCCTACAGATACTGTCTCCAGACTACAGTCGGGTCTGGCCGTGAAAGGAGGACCCACCACCACGCACACCCGGCACGCAGGGCAGTTTGCGTGGGGTGAACTCAGGACCTACCATAATACATTGCCCAATCTTTAATACGTAACGTGATGATTTGTCCCCCACCAGGTCCCCTCGCATTTGCAAGGCTGAGGTGTGACTGACGGGCGAGCTGTGTTATGGGACTCTGACTCTGTGTACGCAGGGGATAAGTATTGTGTATGCGTGACACACGGTGTTTAGGTGTCAGAACTCGAGTAAACATAAGCATAGCTAGGGCGTTTGCAGAAGTCCTCAGTCTTTCGGTTTGCCTAAGAACTCCCTGGGCAGGCAGCCAAATACTGACCCCCGGGCCCCACCCCAGAGGTCCTGACCCAGGAGACCCCGAGGCTGTCTGCAGCTCTCATTGTTGAGAACGCTTCTTACAAAGGGCAGCCTGTCCGAGCCCTCCTTCTACACAGGAGGAAAAGGAATCCTAAATGGCTTCCAATCTCGTGCCCTTGGATCGGGTCCTGCCATTTCCCACAGGTGCCTGGTGGGTGAGGCCAGGCCAGGTGTGGAAGGAGCTCAGCAGCCTGCGCTCAGTAGGCCCTCCAGGGCTGACCGAGACAGCTGCAGGCTTTCAAGCTCCTGGGACAACCCTCCTCCGCCCCTAAATATCTGCACAAACTGGACCTCTCCACCTTGGATGCTTGGGGCAGCAGAGGCTAAGGAATACTATTAACAAGTGGTGAAAAGTGGACAGTTAACCAACCGCTTTATGAGGTTGCTTTGGTGACCACACCACAGCCCCCGTGGGAGATCTCCCGTTGCAGAAGGCTTTTATTTTAAACGGTGTCCTTTATTAATTTTGCAATCAAATCAGTCCCCGATTCCAGCGTCTTACTGTTAGAAATAGTGCAGTGATGAACGTCTTTATGTTTGCCCATGCAGGGTGCTAGCACATCTAGAATAGCATGCCTAGATTTTGTATTAAAGGGCACGGGGATCTGCTGTTTTTGTTCGGAATTGTCCAACAGTCCCCGAAGGTCTGCACCGACTTATACTCCTGCCCCAGATCGGCCGGCTTGACTCTCCCCACGTTCTCAGCAGACCTAGGAGTTCTAAGTCCATCTGAACACACTCGACCCTTGGCGGGTTTCGGTGGTGTTCTAACACAAATTAATCACGTCTGTTACATGTCCCACATCTGCTTTTTTTCAAGACCTTTGCCTGGTGCAGAATTGTTCGAGTATAAAACGATTTTATAAGCGCAGTTTTTTCCAGTGTGAAATGCATTATTTTCACAAATTTAAAAATAACTTACACTTAACAAAGTTTTAAAATCAAGGGTGAAACCCTTACTTGAAAACCATTAATTAGTTTGGGGATTCAAAGAAATAAACGAAAGCCCATTTATGAGTTTGCTAATTGGTCTTTCTGGCTGCTGGAGGTGATCTCAAGTGTCCTCTATAAATCCTTTGAGCACCACCGATAAAGCCACGGACTCCGGGCTCCGGGAACGGGGGTTCTGAGACCTGCATTACAAATCCCCCTCTGAGTCAAACGCACTTCCTATCTCAATGCCTTTATTCGTTGGGACACTTTTGTCTAAAAGAGCCCAAACAAAGAAATGTCATTTAGGTCACACAAAACAAGAGATTTTCATTGCTTTTTAAAATCCTGCTGCTTTTTTTTTTTTTAAGATGATATTTATTTATTTGAGAGAGAGCAAGAGAGAGAGAGAGAGTGTGC